GTACTGTGTGTGAGAGTGTCAGTGGAGCTCAGCAGTAAGGTGCAGAGGTACTGACTGGCTCAGTAATGCCTTGTCATTGGTGTCCTCTCTGCTATTTAACCCTGTCCTTCTGTTTCAGGTTCAAGGCGACGCTGTGGTTAAGTGAGTCTCACCCCCTGTCTCTAGTGGAGCAGGTGTCCCCCATTATTGACCTGATGGCAATCTCCAACGCCCACTTTGCCAAGCTGAGAGACTTCATTACTCTTAGACTGCCACCTGGCTTCCCCGTCAAGATCGGTGAGAGAAACTGTGGGAGAGAGTGGGGGGAGACAGGGAGAGTGAGGAAGTAGGAGGAGATTGTGAGCAAGTGGGAGGGGACGTGTGATAGAGTGGGAGGGGACTGAGTGGGTGGGGACAGCTTGAGAGTTAGAGGAGACTGAAAAAGTGGGAGGGAACAGTGTGTGAGTTTGAGGTGTTTAAAAGAGAGAGAGTGGGAGGGGACTGAGGGAGTGGGGGGACCCCGTGAGAGAGTGGGAGGAGACTGAGGGGGTGGGGGGACCCCATGAGAGAGTGGGAGGGGACTGAGGGTGTGGGGGGACACAGAGAGACAGACTAGATCAGGGAGAATAAGGTGGAGAATGAGGCTTTGCTTAGTACAGGTTGACTGTGAGAGATCACTGTACTGAAAAGGGAAGCACAGTCCCTGTCCCCTCATTAGAAAACACTTCCAGCACATACAGCTGGTTTCCTCTGGTCCACAGCTTTCCTTTCAGTATTTGACAGTGGCACACACCATGTCCCATGGCCATCAGGGCACTGGGAAACATGACTGGTTATCATAGCAGAAGGAAGGGAAACGGCCCCAGAATGAATGTGTCCCCGAACCCTCCTGCCAGTCCTGCCCCGGTCGTGTCCAGCCCAGCTGGCAGCGGACCGGGCCACACTGTGACCTCAGGACGGGTCTCCCACCTGACGTTCCCACTGGTGACCCTAACCCTCTCCCACTCTCTCTCTCTCTCTCTCTCTCTCGCAGAGATCCCGCTGTTCCACGTCCTCAACGCGCGGGTGACCTTCAGTAACCTCTGCGGCTGCGACGAGCCCGTCAGCTCCGTCACTGTCTGCCCCCCGCCACCAGAGGGCGCAGCTGAGACAGGTACTGGTCCAGGGGGGAAGTCGTCACTCTTTCAGCAGGCGCTCACAGGCCACAGACGCCGACCAGGGCCAGATTCGGACTTCCACCCTCCCAGGGCAGAGCGGCCCTCTGTGCTGCCCTTGTTAGCTTCCTGTTTGAAGAGCTGCCCAGCAGCTGCAGAAGCTGACTTCAGCTGTGGACGCTGTCCTGGGATTCAGGCATCCTGACTGAGCTGTGTCATTGTTCTGCAGGGGAAGCTCGGCCACTTGAGCATTTGTAAGCAAATTATTAAGCAAATTGTGTTGCCACAATGTCGTTATGTGTCAAATAAGAAAATGAG